GCACGAGCCTACTGCAGGTACTTTTGCGCAACCACCACAAAAAACTATTCCACCTCCAACTCTTGTATTTCTATTGCTCCCCTCTGCAGTGAGTAGATACGCGCATCATCATCCATTCAAAGGTCCGAGCTTCAATCCCAGCACCGGCCACCTTTTTTTATCATCTTCCCTTTTTTTTCTTTTTTTCCCTCCTCCGTGATTTTTATTTCTCTTGCTCCCCTCTCCAGTGAGTGCGCGCATCATCATGCATGAAATGCATTGCATGACTGCTGTGACTGAATGACTGACTGACTGACCATCATCAACAAAACATTAGAACCTCCATTTGCATCAATTAAATAAATAAGATTAATAGTCGATCCTCTGCTCCTCTTGCTGTGGTCTATGTTGTTGTTGTTGTAATCATGTTATAATACTACTTTATACAAGGGCTCAGACGAGGGGGGCTACCGTCCCCCCCGTTCTTCGTTTGCTCCGCCGCCCTCCGCGTAGGGTGGATACGAAAGTTACTGAGAGACGTAAAACGCATGCAAAGTGGGAAGCCCTTGACCTGGTAGTGGGAATTTGTGATTGATTTATTTCCCGCAGAAGAAGGGGCGCTAGCTGTGAATCCCACTTACAAAATACGTCGCACGATCTTTGGCCGCCCGTACAGCTCCAGACAGAGCCTGGTGGACTCAACAACAGTAATTGCTGCTTGCATTGAACCAGCCCCTTCCACGGAACACGAGGATGCGTACGCCTCACGATTGGTCCCAAATGTGGGCCAATGTGGGGAACGGGCCATCAATTTGCCTACATATGGCGGGCTGTTCTAAGCCTGCACCGACATGCGCCATGAATAGAAATAGACCGGGCTGGAAACGGACTGCAGCCCGGAGAGTGCGTGAGTGCAGTCACGAGGTAGACCCGTAACTTCGTTTGACAGGCTGGCACACCGTACCCGAAAGCGTTGCGTTGCTTCAAGATCTGTCAATCGAAGGCACCGTCAATAATAAGAGGTCCCTAGACTGCTGTAAACATGAAAATCGCAACGTACAGACATCGTCACAACAATGTAGCGTGTAGCTGCACGTACCCTGTTTCACATCAGTCTGTGAGAAGAGGGCTGCTGTTGCACAGCCAGCCGGGTCAAGTTCAGTAATATCTCAAAACCACAGCAGCAGTACTGCTGTAGTTTCACAACTTTTTTCGTCGACAGATAGTTTCGGTCGCCCCGGTGGTCTAGATGGCACCTTCGAAACCTTCTAGAGGTTAGGTCAGGGGTTCGAATCCCGGAGTAAAATAGTTGTTGTCTCGGGACAACCATTTGCTCATGTATTTCATGATTGTCGCTGCTGTCTTCTTGTTGCCTAGCAGACAACCACCAGCGACGACGGCAGCAGTTGGGAGTCCTGCCGGGTATTTAGTTGCAAGGGTGTACAATGTGGTCCTCGGGGTGGCGGTACAAGTTAGGTTGGAAACCAATTAAACCCAGCAGGCGTTTTCCCCAAACTTCTTTGCATACGAGGAAATTAGATCGTTACAAACTTGGACATCGGCGGCCTCCATAACCACTTGTCGTCGACAGCCTACCCCCGGAGTAGTAGTCATGCACTCCTTCTCTACCTTCACCAGTTAAACGCATCGCGGTGCAATCTTTGAGCAGCAGCCGCGAGAGCCGTTTGACGTTGACAACGAAAAACACGCCACTTGTTGTTCTCACGCGGGGGGAGGGGACAGGGGATGGAAAGGATCAACGACGGCTTGTCGTCGTTGGGAAGGAAAGGGATCCAACCCTTGTCGTCGACTACGCGAATGTCGAAACCGACCTCGGCTTGCCGCCGTGCTACTCGAGTACGGTCGCTGATCCTTCCCAAGGGAAATGGAACGAGTGCGCAGGAGGCATGGACGAATCGCCGGCGAATACGGGCAACTTCACTGGCCCGTGGAAAACCAATCGAACGGAGAAACGGTAAGATGAAGGTGGGATCAAAGGCTTTCGTTGCCTTGAGTGTTCGTGGGTGATGGCCGACGGGTTGCTTGTCGTGTAGCCACTGCGTGCAGCAACGGGTATAAGCCCCCACCATAGGTGTCGTTTTGTGTAGACTTCGGAGCTTTTAGAAGTATGTTTTTTTCCCGTTCCAGTAGCCCTCCGTACAACTTCATGTGTGTGTGGATTGCTCCCCCGACACGTGTCGTTGCCACTGTCCCCGATTGATTACCCTGACAAACGTATCGATACAGGCACGCCTATTGCATACTCGGAGTATGATTTGTTCTGTCGATATTTATTGGCGCAATGGCCGCGGTGCAACGCGTCGAAACGCCGGGGGGCAGAGTTTCAAGCACGTCATGATCTCGTATGCATGTCGGATCCCCATGTGGTCGATTCTAAATTTCATCGGATATGTATTTGTGTGCACGCCTCTGTCCATCCACCCGTCCGCTACTACAATGGTGTGCTCAGCTCGTACTTACGCCCGACGCAGCTGCAACCCGCCACAGTCGTCCTTATCATCGTGTGGTTGCACGAGAAGCATGTATTTTTGTTTTTTGTGAGAATAATGCTGGCAGCAGCCGTGCGAACCATTCCATTTTGCGCGATAAGTCTGGACCGGCCGGAAGCAAAAAGTTAAGAAAATGGGGAAGTCGAAATTCGAAAAAAGCGTCTCTCTCCGTCGTCGTCTGGGTTGGTCGTCTAGATTGTGCGTTACGGCAGTGACGAGCCCAGTCATGACGAAAATATGCACAACACGAGAGGTGCATGTATTTGTTTGTTACTCCCGTTTTATGTGGTCTGCGTGATAACGCCGCGCGCTCGCAACAGGTGTAGCGAAAGATGGTCAGCAGAGCATGATGGCGTAGGGCCCGTCCCCCCCATGCCGTACTGGAAGTGGGAGCCTTCGGCGTGCCGGCTGGAGGAGGTGGACGAAGCCAAGTTCTGTCGCGTCATGGAGGGGAGGAAGGGGTTGCTCTTCGCGGGTGAGAGCCGCATGGTTTGGGGCGGCTGTTTGCTCAACCCCCGCCCGAAGTAAGATGGCGTCACCGTGATATGCAACGGGCAACCCCTGAAGCAACACTGCCTGCTCAGAAGAGAAGAGTGGTGAACATGGCGGAGGGTAAGGGGTGTGCCTGCACCCAGGCGCAAGGGGGGGGGGGGGGGGGGGGGGCG